AGTGATGGAGTTCAAACCTTCCAAATACATATTCAGCTAGCCTGGTTACTGAAACGAAGGCTTTGAATATGCATTGCTTTACAAACTGCAAAGAACCTTCCTATGAAATCCGGAGGTTTAACATAGAACAATGAATGGAAAGAGATAATAGAACTATGTAATTGTAGGCTATGCTTTAAACTGAAACACAGGTAGTTTCAACTCTTCTGGATTCACTGTAAATTCATACAGAACAACTAATTCAAAATAACTGAATTCTAAGTTTTGTGCACACATTTTTTTGTACCTACATTTTTTAAGATAAATTATTATTACCATTTATTCAGTGTGTATCCCAGCTGTGGCCCCCTCCCTTCTCTCCTCCCAACCCCACCCTCCTAACCCTTATGCCCCTCCCCTAGCCCACTAATAGAGGAGGGTTCTCCTCCCCTTCTATTTGACTCTAGCCTATCAGGTCTCATCAGGATTGGTTGTATTGTCTTCCGAGAGCCTGCCATTGAGTACATGTCAGAGAAAGTCCCTGCTCCTCTTACTAGGGACCATATTTGGAGACTGAGTCTATGGGCTACATCTGAGCCAGGGGTTTTAGGTCTTCTCCATGCATGGTCTTTGGTTGGGGTATCATTCTCTTCAGAGACCCCAAGGCTCGGTTTTTATGGCTCTGTTGGTCTCCTTGTGGAGCTCCTGTTCCCTCCAGGTCTTTCTATCTCCCCCTTCTTTCCTAAGATTCCCTGCACTCCGCCCAAAGTGTGGCTATAACTCTCAACATCTGCGTCAGTACCTCTATTGGTAGAGTCTTGCAGCGGCCCTCTGTTGTAGGCTCATATCCTGTTCCCTGTCTTCTCCTCCTTCCAATGTCTATTGCTTTTGTCCTTCTGAATGAGAACTGAGCATCCCTAGGGTCTTCCTTGTTGTTTAGCTTCTTTCTGAGTATAGATTTTAGTATGTTTATCTCACATTATATGGATAATATCTACTTATGAGTTAATATATACCATGTGTGTCTTTCTGCTTCTGGGATGCCTCACGCAAGATGATCTTTTCTAGTTCCCACCATTTGCCTGCAAATTTCATGATTTCCTTGTTTTTAATAGCTGAGTAGTATTCCATTGTGTAAATGTACCACAATTTCTGTATCCATTCCTCCATTGAGGGATATCTATGTTGTTTCCAGATTCTGGCTATTACAAATACAGCTGCTACAAACATGGTTGAGCAAATGTCCTTGTTGTATACTTGAGCATCTTTTGGGTATATGCCTAGGAGTGGTATAGCTGGTTCTTGAGGTAGCACTATTTTCAATTTTCTGAGAATGTGCCATTTTGATTTCCAAAGTGGTTGTACAAATTTGCATGCCCACCAGCAATGGAGGAGGGTTCCCCTTTCTCCACATCCTCTCCAGCATGTATTGTCATTTGAGTTTTTGATCTTAGCCATTATGATGGGTGTAAGGTGAAATCTCAGGGTTGTTTTTATCTGTATCTCCCTGATGACTAAGGATGCTGAACATTTAAGTGCTTTTCTGCCATTCAATATTCCTCTATTGAGAATTCGCTGTTTAGCTCTGTACCCCATTTTTAAATTGGGTTACTCTGTTTGTTGGTGTTTAACTTCTTTAAGTTCTTTATATATTCTAGATATTAGCCCTCTGTCAGATATTGGATTGGTGAAGATTCTTTCCCAGCCTGTAGGCTGTCATTTTGTTCTGACAACAGTGTCCTTTGCTTTACAGAAACTTTTCGGTTTCATGAGGTCCCATTTACTGATTGTTGATTTTAGAGCCTTTACTATTGGTGTTCTGTTCAGGAAGTTTTCTCCTGTGCCAATGAGTTCAAGGCTCTTCCCCACTTTTTCTTCTAACAGGTTTAGTTTGCCTGGTTTTATGATGAGGTCTTTCATCCACTTGGACTTTAGTTTTGTGCAGGGTGATATGTATGGATCTATTTGCATTTTTCTACATGTAGACATCCAGTTAGAGCAGCACCATTTGTTGAAGATGCTATCTTTTTTCCATTGTATTGTTTTGGCTTCTTTGTCAAAAATCAAGAATCCTTAGGTGTTTGGGTTTAATTCTTGGTCTTCTATTAAATTCTGTTGATGCACTATTCTGTTTCTATGCCAGTACCATGCAGTTTTTATTACTGTTGCTCTATAGTACAGCTTGAGATCAGGGCTGGAGATACCCCAGAAGATACCCCAGACATACCACAATTGTACAGGATTGTTTTAGCAATTCTGTTTTTCTTTTTTTTTTCATATGAAATGGAGAATTGTTCTTTCAAGTTCTGTGAAGAATTGTGTTGGTATTTTGATGGGAATCGCATTGAATCTGTAGATTGCTTTTGGCAGGATGGCCATTTTCACAATGTTAATCCTACCGATCCATGAGCATGGGAGATCTTTCCATCTTCTGATATCTTCTTCAATTTCTTTTTTCAGAGACTTAAAGTTTTTTTTTTTTTTTCAAACAGGTCTTTCACTTGTTTGGTTAGAGTCCCACCAACATACTTTATGTCATTAGTGACTACTGTAAAGGGTGTCGTTTCCCTAATTTCCTTCTCAGCCCTTTTGTCTTTCATATACAGGGGGGCTACTGATTTTTTTTTTTTAGTTAATTTTGTATCCAGCCACTTTACTGAGGTGTTTACCAAATGAAGGAGTTCTCTGGTAGAATTTTTAGGGTCACTCATGTATACTATCATATCATCTGCAAATAATGATAACTTTGACTTCTTCCTTCCCGATTTGTATCCCCTTGATCTCCCTTAGTTGTCTTATTGCTCTAGATAGGACTTCAAGAAATACGTTGAAGAGGTATGGAGAGAGTGGGTAGCCTTGCCTTGTCCCTGATTTCAGTGGGATTGATTTAAGTTTCTCTCTGTTTAGTTTGATGTTGGCTAGGCTTACTGTATTTATTGCCTTTACTGTGCTTAGGTATGTACATACGTTTTTTTTTTTTAAAGGTAATTAGAGGATGAGGAGATAACAGCTCAGTTGGAAAGTATCTGCCACATGAGCATAAGGACCTGAAACTGGATTGCCAGCACCCACATCCAAGATAGGAGTGGTAGAATTCATGTATATTACTGGTGGAAAGCAATAAAAGAAGATGGCCAACATCAGCCTGTAGCTTCCATACATACATACACCTTCACCCATATACAAATATGCATACACATACACTAGAGAAACGCACAAAAAATTTTAAATGGCTAGGAACGATAATAATTACCTGTTTTTACAGTAACATTCATAGTACGTCTATAAAAAAAAACAGCTATTCGAAACAGATAATATGGAACCAACACTAGCAAGGAACCCCTCATTTCATTGTTTGGATTTCCACACTTGTTGTTTTAAGCAGTGTCAGAAACAGTGTTAGTTTAAGATCATCTTCAGTGACACTAAAGACCCAGACTGACATTTCTTAGAATTGAAATTTGAATAGGAACCTGACAAGAGTCCTTCAGACTGTTTCAAGCTAATTTAACACAATTAAAATGTCAATAAACATGCATTTTACTAAAACTATAAACGTCCCTGTTCTCATTTCATTTTTGCTTCTGTGATAACATATCCTGACAAAAAGCAGCACAGGGTGGGAAGGGTTTATTTGGCTTGAAACTCCAGGTGATAGCCCAGCATTTGAGGGAAGTCAAGGCAGGATCCCAAGCACCCAGTCACATGACATCCACAGTCAAGAGCAGAGGAAATTAATGCACCCGTGCTGCCTGCTTGCTTGCCGGTTCTGTTTCCTTGGCTTAGACTAGACTACAAAGAAGGACATCTCTTCATATTCAGGGTGTGTTTTCTAGCCCTCCTGAACTAAGGCAGTCAAGACAATTTCCCTACACACACAAGCCCATGCCCACAGGCCAAGCTGATCAAGGCAATTCCTCATTCTTGGTTGTGGCAAGCTGGTATTTTAAACTTAACTAGTCAGGGCTGGAGAGATGGCTCAGTGGTCAAGAGCTGCTCTTCCAGAGAACCCAGGTTCAGTTAACAGCATCCACATGGTGACTCACAGCTATCTGTAACTCCAGTTCCAGAGAGTATGGCACCCTTACACAGACATATGCACAGGCAAAACACCAATGCACATAAAATGAAAATAAATTAAGAAAAAAATTTAGCCAACATAGCCCCATGATGTAAACTCTCTGTGTCTCTCTCTCTCCCTTGATCTGTCTCTTCTCTCTCTCTCTCTTTCAAACACATACACACATTAACCGAGGCCATCTAAGCTCTCCTTATTTCATTATCTTCTACGTTCATCTTTCAGACTGCCACAAATTTCATAACATCTCTGTAGTTTAAAGACAAGCTTAAGAGAGGTGTAAATTAAGCTCATCAAAAATACAGGCTGTGCTTCAGAATCTTCACATGTACTGTTGTCCTCCTCACAGGACTGCATCTGTGATCACACATACCAGGGGCCTTCCAGGTTAAAGAATTACAAGAAGGTCAAGGAAAACCTCAGTACTGTGTACAGACAACAATAGTTCTGACCATGATGTACCAGAAGCTGACCCTTTGTCCCTCATACTAAATTTAGTACTCAAACAGTTGTTCATAGCAGCAGGTCTGGTCCTAAGGAGTGCCAAAATTGCTTTTGGTGGTGGGTAGAAAAGAGTTAAATTCTAAAGTAGCACAACCCACAGCTCCTACATAAATATCAACCCCTCATTCCAAGACAAAGCACTTACATTTTTACCCTAATTTTCACTATTGTTGTATATGTGCTTTGGAACAATGCTTGGCTGTAGGCAAAACAAAGGAAGGTAAAGTGGAAAAGCAATCCAAGCAGAAAGTTTTAATTTTGTTTCTCACCCAGCTCAACCAGATAAACATGTTTCTAAATTCTTTGTAAATATTTCTGCTCTTGTATAGTCAATGCTTTTGAACCTCGTACTGTACATGGCTGAATGTCTTCTCTATGGATGGTGTTGTTATTCAGAAACCAAAAGAGACAAATCAATCCTGCTGTGGTCACCACTCACCTATGGGGAAGTCATGCGGCTGGACCACATCGAGGAAGCTGTGCACCATTTGGTAGAGAGGGCCAATAGTCCAGGCATTGAAGGTGTCTTGGGTCTCATATTCTGGGGTAGGCAATTCATAAATCAAAGCAGCAGGAGTGTCTGTGGACACAGGCTGATATCCACACAGAGCCAGTAGCAGCAGGATGATGAATACAAGAGCCATAGTCAGCCTGATCCCCCAAGCTCATATGAGGTAGTTTCTGGAAGCTCAGGGGCAGTAGGCCTTTCCTGGAGCAGCGGGATCTTCTGCCTCCTGGCTGGTAACAAGGGGAGCAGAAGCAGGTCATTCAAAGTACCATCCCTGGGAGGGCAAGAAAGAGCATCGGTTACTCAGAGAAGCCCTTACCTGCCCCAGCAGCCCACCCCAGAGGAAGTGGTATGGCTTAGAGTTAAACACTTAGGCCTAATTGGGGGGAGTGTAAACCAAACGCACAGCCTGCTCCAGAGCTGCAGGTAGGGACCAGCAGAGAACTCCTTCCAGGAAGATGGGATCATTTAGAACACAGCCCTTTCCACGGTCAAGAAACACCAGGCAGGGCTCAAGAAACTGTTCGAGGAAAAAGACATTCATTGGGCACTTGCTGTATTCCCAATACCATCCTACATGCTTTGAAGGTATAATATATGCCGAAGAAATTTTAGCAACCTATACTAGTTACCAGGCAGTCACCAGTTACCAGGCCAGATTCCAAGTCAGTATTTTCCTTCAGAATCTAAGCTCTAACCAGGACAGCAGAGCTCTGATGCTCCAGGCTCATCCTCTCAAGTTTCTGCTAGGGCCACAGAGGCCCCCAGCCATGGACCAGCGAGATTAACTTTTCTAAGGTTTTGCTGCCCTTTTGCTCTGAAGGTACAGCTTCCTTGCATTCTTGTTAACAGATCACATGCCAGGTATCTATCACAGCTAACCCAAGCCCTTAAAACAGTCTTTAGGGGCTGGAGAGATGGCGTTAAGATCACCTGTTGCTAAGATCACCAGGAGTTAAGATCACCTGTTGATTTGTTGATCTTGCAGATGAGCTGGGTTCAGTTCCCAGCACCCACATGGTAGCTCACAATCACTCCAAACTCCAGTTCCAGGTAAGCCAGGGCAGTGCCTTCAGCCTCCATGGGAACCAGACACAAACATGGTGTATATACTCAGATACAGAGAAAACATCCATACAAATAAAATAAATTACTATTTTTTTAATTAAAAAACAAATGGGTGTTGACTTAAAATACCGATGGCCAAACCTAACTGCTGGAACAGGGTTTACTAAACTACACTTTAATTTCTTTTTTTTTTTTTTTTTAAATTGTAGGGTAGGATGATGTAAGTTAGAGGACAATTTTCAGGAATTTCTGGGGTTGGTTCTCTCCTCCTACTGGGGGTTCTGGGATTGAACTCATAGTTTTCACAGGGTATTCCCCCCCCCCCTCACTGAGCCATCTTGACAGCCTTAATTTGTATTTTAACCAGCATCCCTGAAGGGAGCAAAAGGCTGAAATAAACACTATATTCTTAGAACACCTTTCTGCCCCATTCCTGCCACTTTCCAAGGACAATGCAGGCTCTGGACACAGCTTCAGGACCAAGGTCTTTCTGTCTTCTGGGGTGTTGCCTTGGGGGTGAGGGAGTATTTGACTTCAGGGCCCACCTTTATGAGTCCTGTGGGAAGCAGCCCTACCTCTCATTATGAGGCCAGCTGGGGTGCCCAAATAGGCCCTGGGGGTGAGCCAGTCTAGGCTGATCAGATCCCTTCTCTTGGGCCTGAGCCTGGAACATATAGTAAAGATGAGGGGCTTCTCATTCGTTCTAGAAATGAAGGTGGCAATACAGTAGCCATATCTAAGATCTGCCATGCCCACCACACTTACATGTCAGTCAGGGGGCCTGTCACCTGTTCTGTGTTGCTAAGACTGGCTGTCCAACCCTCCTGCCACTTTCTCCAAATCACTGTCCCCCAAGAACATCTGTTTGTTACACTCGTGCTGGGTTGGTTTGTTTCCAGGTTCTTAAAAAACAGGAAGTGGTTCTTGACAACTGACAAAATCAATTTCCTCAAATTGTAAACGAAACCAACCATACTTAGAGTGTTATTATTTTCTGAGATTTATTTTATGTGATGAGTATTTTGCCTTCATGCGTATTTATGTGCATCCCACGCGTATCTCCATGGAGTCCCTGAAGCTGGAGTTACAGACACTTGTGAGCTGTCATGTGGATGCTGGGAGTTGAGCCTGAGTCCTCTAGGGGAGCAGCTAGTGCTCCCAACCGCTGAGCCATTTCTCCAGCTCATAGTGTTATTATTTTCAACTCATCCTTTGATCTGTTTGTTTACTTCAATGAACTAGAACAGAGAGAAACAGTTCAACATAAAAATCATAAGGAAGTCCATAAAAATTTATGGAACACTTAAAAGAAGGTAAGAAAAAGAAAAGAAAGAAAAACAACAACTAAAGGGCCCTGCTGAATATCAAAAATCCCAAGTTTTCAAACAGGGCCGGGTCTCTGGTTACACTTACTAATTGATCCTGTGACGTTGACAGCTGCATACTTTCTCCTTTGCGGAGTGAGCTTTGGAACGGGATTGGTGAGTTAACATGCTAACAAGTAACGAATTTGGCACAATACGCGCTGTCCATAAAGTTCTAACGCCCCAGGCTAATCACTGTGAACCACCTAGGCTCAAGCAGACAGATCCCAGTTTTGTGGTGATTCAGAGGTAAATTCACAAATGAATGAGAAAAATAATCATCCAAGATGAACCGTATGAATTTGCCAATATTCAACTGGTCAATCAAAAAAAAAAAAGTTTTTATATGGTTCAATGCAACTCATTGTTCAAGTTGTTTGGGTCTCCAGTGAGTTGGGGTGGAGGGGCCTGCAAGGACCTCAGTCTCTCGCTCACTTAACAAAAAGCCAGCAACCATTCTTCGCCCGGGCATGAGAAAAGTCCACAATAGAATAAGAGAGCAACAGAGCAGGCTCCTAGAGCAAGCACCGGCACCTTCCCTCCCCTGCTTTTCCCTCCAAGCTGCCACCACACCGAGTGCTCTCCCGCCCTCGTTTTCTCCTTCTCGGGGGCCTCTCCCGGGCTGCGGGAACACAAAAGAACCCGCTCCCGGGCGGCGCGCGAATCTGGAAGCCTCCAGGAATCCACCGCAGCCTGGGGGAGGGGGTCAGCCCTGAGACCCGCCGTCGCGAGCGCCAGCGCGGCACTGCCCACCCCGAGCCCCCGGTGGGGCAGGGGTACGGGGACTGGAACGGAGCTCCTCACAGTCCCTCTCCGACCCGCTCTCGGAAACTCAGCCCGAGCCCCGAGCCTCCCAGCGGCGGGGAAGCTATGGTCTGTCCACACTCCTCTTTGTTGTCCCCGGCCCCCGCGTTCTGTCAAAGTATACCCCGAGCGTCCCTGGTCTCCATCTCCAGGAAAGTCTCGGCGCTGGGCGACCGGACCTCCCGCCCCGGTGCGTGCGCTCGGCAACCGCCGCGGGGAGGCGGTTTGCTCTAGCACCCGCGTCGCCCTTCCTCTCGGGCCGGTAGCACCGTGCGTGGCACAGAGGTGCAAGACGGTGGCTGGGAGTCCCGCGTCCCCAGTGCCTGTCCCGGGGCTCTCCTTACCGCAGAAGAGTTCTCGGGACCGGGACCGAACCTCTTTTCCACCGTCCTGCCCGAAAGCGAGCCGGTGGCCTGAGAGTCCCGCCGCCTTCAGCTCTGGTCGCCAGCGACCACTACCCCTCCGCAGGATGGAAAGAGCAGCAGAGCCGAGCTACGCGGCGCGGAGCGGGACGCCACGGCGAGAAAAAGTTTGCACGCTCCGCACCGTCCTCTCAGACCCCGGGATCGCCCAGTGGCCGGGACCCAGACCACCGTGCAGCCCCTCCAGCCCCGGAAGACAACCCAGGTTCCCGCCACCTGCTGTCGAGGCAGGGGGAGGCGCCGGTCGACCTCCTCCACCCCCCATCCCTGCCCTAGGTGTTCTGGGAGAGGGTGCGCTCAGCGCCACGCCGGGTCCGGAGCTACTCACCGATCCCTTCCAGCTCCTGCCCGGGTCTAGGAGCTCTCTAACTCCTAGCCTCCAGCCTGGACTCCCTCCGCCTGGTTCATGAATTATTTAGAGTCCGGCCCGGGGTATCAGAGGGGTGGTTGGGTGAGAGCCCGCCCTGCTGCCCGCCTCGGGTTGGCTATGGGTACAAGGGGCAGGACTACGGGACCCCAGGACCCTATGAACCTGTACGAACTCCAGGGTCCCCAGGCAGAGATCTGGGGATGCGACTGAGGATACACATTGACCCCTTCAGGAACATACTTACCGGAGGCCCAGCTTGAGGCCAGGTGCCGGGGTCTCCACAGGGCTCAGTAATTTAAAGAGCACTAAGCCTGGGGCTCTGAGCGCACTGATTGGACCTTCAGAGAGGCTCAGCCACAACGCCCTGAGGACATCCACCGGGCATTGTTTTTATTTCCCCGCTGAAATCCCAGCTCAGTCGCACAACATCCTTCTCTATCACCTAATCCTAAATCTCTCCTTAGAAGGCAGATAGCTCCTAAAATCTCTCGCTTCCACATTCTTCCTGGCCCTTTAGACACGGTTAATGGTGCCCTGTGCGTTTTATTAAAAACAGAACTAAAGAAAAAACAAATTATGGGACTGGGGTGTATCTCTATGCTATCAGGGATGGACGCTACAGAGACTAACATTCCTGAACAGGACTACACAGAGAAACTATTTCTGAAATAGACAAAAACAAACAAAAATAACTACATTGCTGGAGCTCCGTCACAGCTGAATTCATAGCTTGAAAGCAGCTTCACTGAAGACTGGAGCAACTGTGCCATGCTGCCCTGGGGGGGGGGGGGGGGCTTGTGAGTCTTACAACTTTCTGAGCTTTACTGAGCCTCCTGTTTCTTGGTTTTTCTGAATCTTACCAACCTCCCTCCTCCCTTCAGGAAGGGCTGGTTCAAGTCAAAGGAAATGGCTACACAACCATCTGCCTTCCCCATTTTACATGCTCAACATGAACAAACGAATAAGCACTGAACACAACAGTAAGACGTATCCCGGACAGTCTTAAGCAGAAAAGACAGCTCAGCAATTACAACTACCTACTGTTCTTGCAGAGAACACAAATTTAAGTCCCAGCACCATGTGGGTGACGGCCTGTAACACCAGCTCTAGGTCTCCTGTAACGCCGTCTTCTGGTCTTCTCTGGCAACTGCACTCAGGTGCACATACACATTGATACACATAATTTAAAGTAAAGTTTAAAAATGTTGCAAGAGTCATAAGGCTTTAGAAATGATGCATTGGGATATGATAGCTCAGTAGAAGAGCATGTGCTTAGCGTGTCCGAGGCTCAAGTTCTAGTACCACACAGAGAAGGAGGAGGCATGCAGACATGGTGGTATTATGCCGATAATTCCAGCATTGGGAATTCAAGGATAGCATGGGCTACAAAAGCAAGAAAGTATTCTTTAGCTATTGCCAGAATACATAAAAATCAATATTCAATATTGATTTCAAAATTCAAAATTCTTTGAAGAGACTATTTAGGTATTTTTCTTGCAATCACTAAAACTTAAGCAAAACATGTTTACGAATAATCATTCTAGTTCACCTGACAATTTCAACCATGAATGAGGGTGTTCTGAAAGGAACAACATCACTTTTCACATTCCCTGTGCAGTGCTGTTCTAGGGGTCTTTGAAGACAGCTGGTAGTCTCCATGGTGAGGCTGAGCAAAGAGCCCAGTGGAAGCTGTAGTAACTCAGCCTAGAGTCCTTTGCTGTCTGTACCCTGGAGCTTGCTTTCTTCACTTATGTGGGATTTAAGAGGGACACCGCTTCTGAAGCACCTGGATCAACTATTTTAAGCCTGCCCTGGGGATAAAGGACTATCTGGTCATCTAGCTGTGGAAGCAGTCATGAGACAGGCTCATAGAAGGCATGTTCCTCAGACGGAACGAAGCTGGAGGGTATAGGGAGTAACAGAGTGGAGCTGCTAAGGACATTTGTGATTGATTGCAGCAAAACAAATATTTTTAATGATTAAAATAATGATGTTTTGTGTGACTCAAAAACATGGCAGCATATCTTTAGATTAAAAAAAAAACTTTGCATCTCAAAACTGCTCTTCAGATTAAAATTTTGTAATGTGGAGCCAGGGAGAGAGGAAGAAGGAAGTGAGAAGAGAGGAAAAAAGACAAAGAGAAAGAGGGAAAGCGGGGCAGTGAATAGCTCCAAGCAAGCCAACATTTTCCTGTAAATATTTTACTGCATGATTTCCTGTTCCTCTTGCTTTTCTATGCCTTACCTCTAGGCAGGGCTGCCAAAAATAACATTACTGGTTTAATAACCAAAAGGCAATAAAACATTCCTCTTGTACTTCAGGTATGATCTGTGTCTGATCCACCAGGCCACAGCCTAACTCAAGGGCAGAGGTAGAAAGCCTTCACATAGTGAAAAAAAAAAAAAAAAAAAAAAAAAAACAGATGGAAGAGCCAGACAGAGCAAGGGAAAGACAGCAGAGTTCCAACTTAAAGCTGAGGAGAAGCTGGAAAACTCAGCCAGTGGTTTAATGGGAATGGGTGTGGGGTACTGTTGTGTTTTGTGCTTGGGAGTCTACCTTCCAGTCAGTAACTGCTTCAAATAAATTCCTGGTCTTTAGAGACAGTTCTCATCTCAAATGAGAGTACCATGCACAAAAAAGGGGGAGGGGGACATGTGCCTTTAAAAACCTATGAAGACAATTAGAGCCAGAGTGGGAGGCCATTCCACCACCATACTTGACTTTGCAAGGAAGAAAAGGCTTGAACTAACTGAGAAGTGGCTACAGAAGGTAGGCCTAAGTCCATCACTGTTAATTCAAAAGCTGTCAATTGTCACAATCTACACAATCTACACAAGGTTCAGCCAGGAACTCAACAACCTAAAGCAAAAGGCCCACCTGTGCTGAGCAATGTGTTTCCCCTTCTTTTAAAGACTTCCAAATTTGCACTCCTCATCATCTGTTGAAAGTTGACAAGCTTTTCGTCTATTAAAAAATATTCACTTCAGATTCCCAATTGCCCATATAAATGTCATTCTTCAAATCACTCTTTGAACTAGTCCAGTTACTGCCTCTCGGTGGCTGCCTCACCAATCCATGAGCTAAGCAAATGCTTTCCACCTCACTTACTGTGTATCTGCACAGGAGTCATGTTTTTTAATTCCTTGAAAGTTAGAATTTAGAAGCCCCATTAGGCTTATTTTCTCTGGGGATGTAAATAGCAAAGTTTTAAATACTATGCAACTGATTTTTAAAAATTAAAGCTAGATTGTGCTCAGAAAAATTGAACCCAGTGGTTACTGTTATACAAATCTTAAAAAAAAAACAAGGAGCTTGGATTATAGCAGCTGTCTCTTAGCTGGGGCAGCATTGCTGAATACACCTACCAGAGGTGCAAGCCATGCTTCCTTTTGAATCCCATTCAAGGCAAACTTTCACTCAACCTTACAAGAAGCTGCCGAAGACAAAGGGAGATAACAGAAGAGCTGGGTTCCAATGAACTCCCTTTGACAAATGAGAACACAGAATAATTTCTTGTTTTTAATTAACAAGTATGAAGGATGTTTTCAACTTTCTTTGCTTTGTTTGCATAGCTGCTGATTAAATACAAGAGCTCATCATGTTAAGCCAGACCCCCAGCACAAACATGAGGTGTGTGTTGGTTAGGCTTTTGTCAACTTGACACAAGCTAGAGCCATCTAAGTATGAGAAGATGCACCCATCAGATTGGCCTGAGGCAAGCCTGTCATGCATTTTCCTTGACTGATGACTGATGTGAAAGGGCCTAGCCCACTGTGAGTGGAGTCATCCATAGGCAGGTAGTCCTGAGGTATATAAGAAAGCAAACTGAACAAATAAGGGTGAACAAGCCAATAAGCAGATTCCTCCATAGTTTCTGCTTCAATCCCTGCCTCCAGATGCCTGCCTTGAATCATTGCCCTGATGACACTCTGTGATGAACTCTTACCTGGAAGTGTAAGATGAAATAAACCTTTTTTTTCCCCAAGCTGCTCTTGGTCGTGGTGTTCATCACAGCAACAGAAAGCAAACTAAGTTCTTAAAGCAAACTGGTTCTTAAAGACCAGTATCCATTCTCAGCATTTGAATAAACTGGTCTTAACCATGAAGACCAGAGAGCATCAAAACCAGAGGGAGATATTTGTCGACGTCATGTTTAGAAATGGTTATAATGGCTAGATGGCCTAACACTTTTCAAGGACAGGAATGAAACAGAACAATTTCTAGAACTGTTTACATTATGAGTGAGGAAAAGTACAAGTAAAATGAAAAGAACATTTTAGATCCAGAGAGGTTTGTTTTGTTTTTTAACTCCAATGCTCTTAGTATTGGAGGTTGGAAAACTCCCTGTTACAGGAGAGAGGTGTTCCGTGCATGCAGGGATGTTTAATGTTTAATGATATCCCAAATGTCGACTTCATCAGTTATAAGTAGTAACCTTTCCCCAAGTTGTGACAACCCTGAATGTTCAAACTATAGAGTTTGGTTTCCATTAAACTCCTAAGACTGGAAAGATGGCTCTTCTATAGACCTAAGTTTATTTCACAGCACTAATGTTGAGCAGGTCATAATTCCTCTAATTCCAGCTCCACGGGAGACAATACCTTCTGGCCTCTGTAGACACCTACGCTCACATACCTATGCCACATACAGGCAAACATGCACTCATTTAATTTTTAAAAACAAAAATAGGTCATAAGCAAAATTAGTATTAAGCTTTGGCTAAATCTTATCAGCTATATACTAAAAAAGGTCCTGATAGCAATTTTACAAATGCCAAAGATTATGGCCATACTCTCAAAGATCCTCACCATATACTCAGTCTGCATGAGCCAGTTCTGTTCCCTCTCCAGCCCTGTGGACAGGAGACCCTGGAAGGTCATAGCCAGCTGTCCTGGTGCACAAGAAGAGATCCTGCTTGCAAACAAAGAAGGAGAGAATCAACACCCAAGGTTTTCTTCTGAATCCCACATACACACATGTCCTCCTCCATCCCAGACACGTTATAAAGTAAGATAAAA